TGTGGGTACTGGGGTTGAGTCGGAGGCATGGGCGGGGGTGCGCCGTAGCCCCCGGTATAGCCAGGATAACCCGACATGGCGAGGGAGGAAATCTCCGTTTCAGGGCGGCAGAAGAGAGGCGAGGGTTCTCGGATGACGAGGTTGATGGTGACGATGGACGTCAAGGCGGAGGGGGGGCGCTGGCTATGGCTCTGGCTCCGGCTCCAGCGCGGGCTCAGGCTCTGGCGCTACGTTGTCGTCGGGTTTCGATTCGGGACTGGAAAGTCGTTGGGCGGCGGTGTCAGCGCAGGCGGCGTGGTGCTGTTAACGGGTGCCTGATGACTATGAAAGGCCGGGGGGGGGGGGGCTTGTTGTGTGAGAGAAGGAGATTGCCGGTTAGGGATTTACCGGTGAGGATTCGAGGTCGCGAGAGAGGGTGTAGGATAAGGGAGAGGGGATTGGATGCGAAAAAAAGAAAAGGAAAAAAAAAGGCTCGGTAAGAAGAGAGGGGAGAGGAGAGAGGGAGAGAGAGAAAAAGGTTAGGAACTGGGGCCAGACCGACCCAGAGTGAATTGAAAGAGAGGGTCTAGCGTCCTAGGACCGTTGAGGTTATTGTCCTGTCGGGGGCGAGTGGGGGGGAGAGTACGGGTAGACAGTACAGGTACAGCCGGCGTAGAGGAGAAGGAGGGGGAAAGGGCTCTTATGTAGAGGACATGACTGGCGTGACAGACGATGGTGCCAATCCAATAATAACGAATGACGATGAGCTGAAATCGAAAGAGAGGGATGCAAAGAATAGGAATGGATAGACGGGTAGAGGGTGCTAGAAGAAGAAAAAAAGAAAACATGGACGATTGGCAAGGCGGCTAATGAGAGAGAGGGAGAGAGGTTTGGCAGGACAGCTCCCCGAGATGATAACAAATAATTGAAAGAATGGGCCGGGGGAGAAGAAAAAAAAAAGGCAGGCAACACACACAAAATGAGCGACAGATCACAGAACGAAGATATAGCAGGTACTAGGCAGTGCTAGAGTCCAGCAGCGCAGCAAAACTCTGTACCGACAATATCTCCTCCCGTCATGTACTCGTACTCAAAGAGCCACCACACGCCAGCGATACAGGTAGAGCGGCTAGCTCTGTGGAGCGGTCCAGGTCGCCGTCTGTCTGTCGAGCGGCCGGGTCTTGGAGGCTGGAGGCTGTGGGCGGATGCGCCGGTCGAAGCCGACGTGGCTTGAGGTGTGGTCCGGAAACGAGCTCGAGGTAGCGAGCAGTTCGGCAGTGACGGACGAGGCGTCTGGCGTTTTGTTTGTTTGTCGCGTGGGTTTGGATTGGATCGAAAGCATGTGCAACGTCGTAGGTGCATACCAGGACAGAGGTGCGTACGACGTCGGGGTTAGTATGTCTGGCTCAGTACGAGGATACATCTGTGCAGGTATCGCGCCGGTGCTAGTACTATCACTCTCCGTGCTGTCCTCGTGGAATTCCCGTCTTCGCTCGACGTGCCCCGGGGCAGAGACCAGAGTATCAGTACACGTGGTGCGGAGTATCAGCAGGAGTCCATGCTACGAGCGCAATATTGGATCGTCGGTACCGGTTCCTGGGACCTCGTTGAGCGGCGCGCGCGAGACAGGCGTGTACTTGTATTACTCGTACTCGGTACTCACCCAGACTCGACAATGGATAACCAAGCTTGGTGGATAAGACGTGTGTGGGTGCGCGCGCGCGCGCGCGTGTGTGTGTGGGGGGGGGGGGGGGTTCTGGGGGCGGGGGGGGGGGGGGGGGGGGGGGGGGGGGGGGGGGGGGGGCGCCCGCGCGCCGGGAGGAGGGGCAGACGAGAGGGAAGAGGATACGGGGGGGGGTTGCGATCGGGGAATAGCAACATACGAAGTCTGGTCGTCCTTGCTTCCGGAAAGCATGACAACATCGGCGGGCGAAGTCTTGGTGGCGATGGCGCGGGTGTGGGCCTCATCGCCAGTTGTGGCCTTCTTGATGAAGCCGAGGATGTTGTTGGCGACACCCGAGAGGTCGCCCTGGCTGTACGAGGACAGCACGCCCAGCAGGCCCTGGCCGGCCTCCTTGGCCAGGTTGGGCTCCTTGAGGACACCCTGGGTCGAGTAGATGTAGGGGAGGTCGAGGGCGGTGCCCGAGTGGCACGAGTCAAATATTGCCGTCAGGCGTACGCCCGGCTGCAGCGGGCGGACCATGATCCTGTGCATCTCATCATCGGTGATGTGGCCGTTGTGACGGAAGTCGACGGGGTAGATGACTTCGTCGTAGCCGTCGGGTTCGTCGCCGTCGAGGTCTCTCGTCTGACCACCATGGCCTGGGAGGCGTCAGTTTCACGGAGAATTCCCTCCTTCCACTTCTTTTTTTTTTTTTTTTTTTTTTTCCCCCCCCCCCCCCCCCTCCCTCCCTCTTCTTCTTCTTCTTCTTCTTCGTTCTCTTTTTATATGCCCGCTTTTTTGGTCTGGTTCGTTTGTTCTTGTTTCCAAGAGAGGTACATGGCCGGCGTTGTGTTTACGAGGTTCATTGTTGTATATATGGGAATCAATCAATCAATCAATCCGTCTTTCTTTTTTTGTTTTTCACTTCTTCTTTTTTCTTCTCCTTTTCCAATTCAAGGGTTACTAGTTTCAATGATGTTATGTCTCGTCTTGTCACCTTCACATGCTGTACAAGCTGCCTCTTTCTTTCCCTACCCCTTCGCCTTCGCCTCCGGAGCTTTACAATCAATCCTACATGGTATCACTCTTGTTCATGTGAAATGAAGTCAAAGAGTTATGATAGTGAGGGCTTACAGGATATACGGATACATGTATAAAAAAAATTGCAATAGTATTACCAAGTACCTGTAGATAGATGTTTTATATATATCAATCCTTTGTACCCTGTTTTATACAAAACACATCTACATCTACTCGATATCCATACTCGATATCCATACTACGACTTGTGGATAAAAAAAAAATTCTTTTTTTTTTTAAAAAAAAAAAAGACCCGCGTTTCTACCATGTATCATTATCACTACATGAGAAAATAGGTCCTTGGGTATCAACAACGCCCGTCGTCGTATTTTATCGTCTAGAATTCTCTTTTATTATCGTGTTCCTATAATAGATACCCTTACTCAATTTCTGACAACCCCAAAGAGCCGCAAAAAAAAAAAAAATAGAAACAACAAAGGAAAGGGAGAAAAAGGTCAAGAGAAAAATTCAGAGGACAGAGAATGAGTTTATAATAATTCACAGTAGTTCAAAACAAAAGCAGATATAAAAAAAAAGGTTTCAAAGACAAGTAAAAGGCTATATATATAAAACCATCTAGACAAGGCTAAAGAAGAAAAAAAAGAAAAAGAAACCAAAAAAAAAAAAATCATCCAACTTGACCATTATTCTTGCTCGCTTCATCACTAGCACCTACCCACCAATCCTCACCAATCCATCAGACCACAGAAAGAACCGAGCACCAAACTAAAGTAGCCATCACCGTTTCCAAATCATGCCCTCACCTCAACCCGATAGTCGACTTTTACTGCCCTGCAATGGATGAGGATGACACGAGAGAAGAGGCAGTTGGATGCCTGACGCCATGGAATGATCCATGGCAAGGGTGACCGTGATAGAAGGAATTACATTACAAACAAGATATTAGTATCTAGGTCGGGTGTTAGCAGATGTAGCCACGGACCCCGTGTGTGCAGGTACCTCTGCAAGACAAGGCAGACTCACCAAGAGGATGACTGCAGGACAGCTGAGGCTTTTGGGTATACTTTGTCGCGAGCTCGTCTCGAATGCTGTTGAGGAGCTGCACGTAGCTCTGCTGAGGGTTCTTGCGCATGGCCGACACAAAGGCCCACGACATGGCGCCCGTGGCCTGCGATGCGATGGTCGCATCGGCACTGG